AGAGAGAGATATGAAGCAGTATATAAGTCTAAGTGCTATTGCTCTTAGGTCTGCAGTTTATAAAGACAACTCTTCCAATTACTATTAATGGACAGAAACCTTAGAAAGGGGTAAGAAATGGAAATGTTGTCCTTTCTTTCTAATCTCCAGGACTCTGGTTAGTTTGGTTTTTCTTATGTCAGAGGATTATCGCAAATTGCTCTGCTATTATTGATCTTTTAAGAGCATTTAATGTTATGCTAGCAGTGAATATAATATTAGAAAAATACCACATTAAGATAAAAGTTCACTAATATTAAAAGAGGATTGGACAGTTGATGCGATTTAGTGACATATGCTCAATTCTACATATCCAAAGCTTTCAGAGTGAAGAGCTAATTGCAAATGATTTAAATAAACAAGCAAATAAATATAAAGTTCTCTTCTGGATCTTATATGTATGTATATGTGCCTCAGTGGTGCAGTGGTTAGAGTGCAGTACTGCAGGCTACTTTTGCTGCCTGCCGGCTGCCTGCAATTTAGCAGTTCAAATCTCACCAGGCTCAAGGTTGACTCAGCCTTCCATCCTTCCGAGGTGGGTAAAATGAGGACCCAGATTGCTGGGGACAATACGCTGACTCTGTAAACCACTTGGAAAGGACTGTAAAGTACTGTGAAGCGGTATATAAATATAAGTGCTATTGCTACATATTTTTATGGAAGTAAAAATTATTTCAGTTCCTTCTATTTTATCCTAATTACTAACAGTATTTTCATCTTAGGGGAATACTATGGCTTTCCTTAAAATATAGCTGCCAGATCTTTACACTATCTTTGAATACTTTTAACATTTTCTAAGGCAAACATAATCCATCATAGTCAAAATATCCATTCATTCAACAATGAGTTCAGTACAGCAGTGCAACAAAATTGGTCATAATTAAAACAAGCCAAGTCTTGAAAACTATTTCATCAAAATACAGAACTGTGAAACTGAAAAGAAATGTATGTTATTTTAATATGCCAGTTATAGAGAAGGACTGAAGAAATACTAAATGGAATCACAAAGTAACAGTGGAGATGTCTGTCTGCTTGCTTTTCTGACTTGCAGATTTTATGTTGAAATAAATCCCAGTAGTTTCTTTGGAACTCCCTCCTACACAACCACGCATAGAGTTACTCTATGTAACGTAGGCAACTAATTCTCCCTGAGTTTCAAAGGTGATTGCACTGGGATTGCTTTGCGCTGTCTTTTATGAAACTCTCTACATGGCACAATACAAAATCTTTCTTTCACTTTGGCTAGCTCATTTGGGAGTGCTTTTGTTCCTTTCATTCAACACCTGGCTTACAAAATTCTGTAGAAAATGTGCATTTTTAGTTTCCTGTGTAAGTGCTGGGGAAGGGAGCTATAAAAAAGCTGAATGCCAAGAGCATGGGGATGATCAAGACACACCACTCAGCAACTTGGTGACCTATTTTTTTTATTAGGGTAATTACATTTTTGAAGTCACCATTTGGTTTGAAAAGCTATACTTGCAGGATGTCAGCAAATGTACAGCTGATCAGCTAAGAGATTTCTGAATGTCTTCAAAGATTGGCAAAAAAATGTAAGAGACCCTGACCACAGTAGTCAAAAATCAAAACTAAGAAAAAAGAGAAAGGGGATTGATACAAGCAAGTCAAAGAAAATATAGCTGGCTAGGAAGAGAATATTTATGTCAAATAAAAATAACTCAGAATTGATAAATAGAATACTGACATGGAATAGCTGAAGCAATAATAACAATTATAGTGGTGCAGTAACAATAGTGATAATAACAGTAATAAAGAAAACAAAAGTAGTATCAATAGCACCTTGGGACAAGTCACAAAGCAACTAGAGCACCACTTCAATACCATCGGCATTAACAAAATCACCATCAGTCAATTACAAAAGGCAGCTGTGCTTAGATCAGCTTACCTCCTCTGATGATACCTTTAACATCATCAAACATCCACAACTGCTTATCCCAGGACCTTGGGAAGGATACGACAGAGGGACAAACATGCCAAATCCAGTCTGACATCATAGAATAAGTTAAATTTGTTAAATTTTTTGAAAGCAGTGTTTAATGTAACCCAAGAGTTCAGTGGGGTTCAGTTTTAGAGTCTAACAATTTCTGGTGTCATCAGTGGCAAAAAGTAGGTTAGTGGCTTAGGTGACTAGGCAACACAGCTTTAGATTCCTAATTAGAGTGCACTCTGCAATTTTGGTTCAAGGCCATGCTTCAGTTCAGTTGTAAATGTGCTGTTGTGAACATAAAATGATATTATAATGTAACAATAATGATGAAAACTGCAATATTAATATGCTTGCTTTAATTATACGGTAGAGTCTCCAGCTAGAGTTGGGGGAAGATGTATAGAGCGGGATGAACTTTCTGCACAGCAGAAAGCAGCACAAGCCTTATCTTCCCCAGAGCCCCTGAAGGCTTATCTGAAAATGCAGTCAGTCTGGTGAGATTCTTGTAAATAGGCATCGCTTCAAAAAAGTAACTATGATTAACTCTGTGTATGGGCCAGCTTCTCCTTACCTGACAATCAATTAGCTACTGTTTGGTAGAAGAGAAAGCTGTTCCAAACTGGAAGCATGTTCTTAAAATGTCAAACAACTCTTTGAATTATCTCCTTGAGTTTCTGTCTTGTTGTTTTGCTTAGTGTCCTGCAAGGTAAAGCGGGGGGAAGGGAATCTGAAGCAATTTTCTGGCAATTTATGCAAGAGAGTTTGCTTCTGAAATTTATTTCATAGATGGGGAGAATCTTTATGAATTTCTCACATGTGGATGGAGTATGGTGTTCTCGCACTTGCTTATGTTATGAATGAGAGAACGAGAGAGAATTTGAATGTTATGAATGAGAGTGAGAATGAACAGCCTGTCTTTTGTTGTCCAATCATCTTTCCAGTAGTCTACAACTTTGCTTCCCATGCCTCATTTCAAAGTAAGACACAACAAATAGCTCTTATATAGTTTTTTCAAATTGGCAGCTAGAAAAAGTTAAAAATAATGGAAAGATGCATAAACAAAAACAGTTGCAGTAATATTGTCCATCATTTCAACAATACAATAAAAAATGCCAAGGTAAAAAAAATCTAAAGCACTCTCAGAATGAGAGCCTCTTTCCGCTAAAAAAATACTTGAATGTTTGTTTAAGATTTCAGCATACCTTTTGTTTTGCCTCAATATATTGATGCCAATTCTTTGATCCCAATGCTTTTCCTTCATATTTCCTAGTTCTGCTTATCCCTTCTCCCTAGTTATGAATTCCTTTTGGTCTGATGAGGAATCTGGACTGATTACTGAAAACCATGGAACCATGGAATCATGGCTTTATTTGCTAACTCCATGGAATACCATGTACATCTAGTATCAAGTTTGCAATTGGAAAATAATTGGCTGCACAATCTATTCCAGAAGTACCATATTGATTCTTCATCTTAACTGCACAACATAAAAGAGACTACATGGAAAAGTAATAGTGGAAAAGCATCTCTGCATTTAGTTGCAGTGTTTCAACTTTTGTAGATATATTCCAAGAGCAATTGAAATAATCATATTGTATATCTATGGTATATTTAAAGCCATGGGCATTTCTTTAGAATGTCAATGTCAGTGATTAAAAAGTTAAGAAGTTACTTTTGGGGGTGAGAATATGATTAAGAAACTACCTAAGCTATACTAAGACAGTTAATTGCAAGTCCAGTTCTCCTTAATTTTAATTTTGTTGAATGTGTGCTGGTAGACAATATTCAGTTCTATACCACTGTTTTCTTAACCTTTGATTTTTTAAAATCCAACTGCCTATTTTATCCATCAGCTGCTTTTGACTGTGAAGAACCATTTCTTTCCAAAAAAATAAGTAGCAAATTACTCTGTTTATTTTTATACCTTTTTTTGTTTTTTAATACTTTTTAAAGTTGTTACAAAATGACATTTTATATTGGAGAAAAAAAATCGGTTTTAGTGAAGAAAGTTGAAAGATTTTCAGCTATGGAAGAAGGGGCTTTCCATTTAAATGGAAAATTATGTTTTCAGTGCTACGGTTCTTCTAGAGTACTTTTCTCCTTTGCTCAATATATTCAGTAGATAGTCTGACTTGTTCTAGCAATAGCAATAGCAGTTAGACTTATATACCGCTTCATAGGGCTTTCAGCCCTCTCTAAGCAGTTTACAAAGTCGGCATATTGCCCCCACAATCTGGGTCCTCATTTTACCCACCTCGGAAGGATGGAAGTCTGAGTCAACCCTGAGCCGGTGAGATTTGAATTGCCGAGCTGCAGAACTAGCAGTCAGCTGAAGTGGCTGCAGTACTGCACCCTAACCACTGCGCCACCTCGGCTCTTCTCCAACAGAATGTTATTAGAATGAGTGTCATGTTCTAAATGTGATGATGCTGGTAGCTCATAGCGACTATTAGGAACTTATCTTCATAGTGTAAGAGCAATAACACTAACTAAATTGATGGTTAATTTTCCAGCAAGTTTTTAATGTTTACCATCTTTAGAAAATGAATGGTTTGATACCAGCAAATACCCAATATTGTCTTTGAATATCATATTTAATGAATATGAACATATTCATTATACACTGATACACTGAATACACTGAACATATTCTAGCCACAGATGCACAAATGGTGGCATGGTATCTACATGCAATTCACTAGCATCTTTTTTATGGTTCCTAGAGCCTGACTTTACATTGTGAGAATTGAGACATATAGAGCAAAATTTCTTCCTTCTACCTTGAAAATATCTAAAACCCCTCCCTGAAATAAACACATTCTTGAATCAATAAAATTATGCGTTATTGTTCTAATCCTTCAATATATTTTCACATTCCACCCTGAGGCAGATTTGAAACTCAGCAATTGACAGTATTTCCACTGCTAAAGACAATAAGTTCTTAATTAACTTCCTGCCTTTCACAAGCTTAAAAAGAACGTCTGAAAAAACACAATGAAAAATGAACAATACTTACAACCATACCATTTAGGGACACCCAGCAATCTTCTGGGAAATCTTGAAGCAATGGGACCAAGAACTGAAGGCAACCGTCCCAATGGCAAAGAAGCAGCATCATTCCAATGAGGTTGAAGATTCTCACCACAGCACTGGCTAGATCATAGGTCATGTGGAAAATCTGCAGGTAAAATTACAGACAATACGCGACCATCAAAACCAAGATTTTACCATTGAGTTATGCCTCATTAAGGAAAACCAACAGTAGACTGAATAGTCCAAATCCTATAAAATAGTGCCATCAAGATTATGTTCTGGAAATAAAGTCCTTAGAAACTGAGCAGAACTGAGAATAAAAGACAATCATTTTGTAAAGGCAATAGAAGACTGCACAAATTTGTATTCATCTGTTTTGTTTTTATGAGTTTATCCTAATATATAGCAGTCTACAGCTACATAAAATTAACATATAACTTCAAACAAACGCCAGTAAATAACCATTAAACCATTATTGCTTTTCTTTTTTCTTCACTTGATTCACTTTTTAGTTTTACATTTTTTAAAATTAAAGATAGGCTGATAATTTATTATATGGATTTCTTCATGATTTGTTGAACGATTACAATCCCATCACCCTGAAGTAGTTGAAGCATGCCCTGGGTTACACTAAATACAAAAGTATTAGAAGGAACACTCTAAATTCAAATAGTAACAATGTCTTTTATCACAATGAAATATAATTACTAGAGCTACTTTCCTAATTTAGGAGAAAATATTATTTTGCAGGCATTATTGATTACGAGAATGTTATTTTACCGGAATGATGTGATCAAGATTTGTTTGATCAGCATTATCAGAATGTATGTTTTCCCAGTGATGTCACTGTGCGAAATGTAGATGGCCAAATAATGCTAGTTATATTGGATACAACAATGCTGTTGTATTCTATGATGGAATATTAAATCCATGTTAATGATATTTATTTAAAAGTGTTACTCAAATTATTCATTTCAAAGAACACTTAACCAATATCATTATAATATGGAGAGCAACAATATGCCTCTGATATTCCTTACCTATCCTTCAAACAAATGTAACCACCCATTTTAATAGCTAAGGGAAGAAGCAAAGTTATTGGAGAACAATAATCTGTAATGTATAAAGTAATAATGTAGCTTCTCATTCAATGAGAGAGAAAATGTGAGTCTTAAACATAGTACCAAAGAAAAAGAAGAGAGAATTGAGTGATTGCCCCAAGTTGCTGTAAATTAAAAAATAGTGTGGAAGAGCCATTTAGAAGGAACTTGGAGAATCAGTTATAACCCCATAGGGTCAAAGCGTAAGAAAGAAATTCAGTATATGACTTTTTAATATAAGGAGGTTCAGAGAGAGTCATGCTTTTAAGCTTTTGTTATACCTATTACAATAATAGGGTGTATCGTTCCTAGTTTTCCTGTAGACATAAGACATGAATGAATTGCTGCCTATGCCACCTTCAATTTCATAAATTATTATTAGCATTCTAAAGATTCTACACTACCACTACAATTTTCATCAGTTTGAATTTTTTTTTAAAATGACTTTCAAAGAAGGAGAATTTTAGTGAAATGATCATGTGTGTTCTTAGACATAAAATGAGATAGCAATAGCACTTAGACTTATATACCGCTTTACAGTGCTTTGCAGCCTTCTCTAAGCACAGTGTCAGCACATTGCGGAGTGGAAATTAGTGTCCTGTCTATTACTGAACACAGGTAATCCTTGCTTAACATGATTATTCAAGGTTATCATGGGACTGAAAAAGGGCATCTCCGATTGGTCCTTGAAGTTATGGTTGTGATTTCAATCTGGGTACCTAGCAACTGGCTCACACGACAGTTGAAGGGATCCATAGACATGTGATCATCTATTGCAACCTTTCCTGCCAGCTTCCCACAAGCAAAGACAATAGGGAAGCCATCTGAGAAGGTTGTACTTTGCTCTGCTAAGTGGCTTGCAACTTGCCTTACCTGGTCCTACCTTTCTGGGCCACATGCCACACTAACCTGTACAGTAACAGCCATCCTTGGTGCTTGCACCATGCCTTACCTGGCTGCCGGTCTGCTTGTAAGATACCTGGGATTCTTACTTAACGACTCGTAATCCTTACTAAACAATGGCAATAAAGAGTGCTAGAATTGCCATTGCTAAGCAATCTGATAATGTGACAACGTACTTTATGACCACATTGTTTATAGAAATTCTGGTCCCAATAGCTGAAGACTACCTGTAATTTTCTCATTAGGTGACTGCAGCCTTCCTAACTTACCACATTTCAGTGGAGTCTAAAAAAGGAGGAGAAATATAATATTAACTCCTCCCACGGGGAAGACGTCAAATAAATGGAAAGTTATATAATATAAAGTGTTAGTAGCACACTCTTTCTATTCTAACAATATAAAAATGTAGCAAAATTCAAAAGAAATTACTAATCACCCTGACAACAATATAAAAATAGATTTGTTGTAGGGGAAAATTTTGTCATAGTTATAAACGATCACCTACAAACATTAATGCTATTCTTAAATGAAATATAATACAATTTGAGCAAAACTGATCTTTTCAATGTTTTGGCATTTCTGACTATTCGGAATTTGACATTTCCAAAGTTTAGTTTAATTTTTTTTAAGTAGCCTAGAGAAGTTAAAAATGTACAACTGCTTTTATATTGCCTATAATTATTTAGAGGATTTGGAGAAAATGCAGTATTTAATGGTAAGGAGGAAGCAATCTAGCAGCCTTGAGAAAAATTAAATATTTATGTAGATTTTTCTTGATTACCCACTACTTTAACATACCATTAACTTAGCTGGAGTGACTACAAATATTCTAAACTGGCTGGGTGACTTTAATCATCCTCTCTCAGCCAAGCCCCCCCTCTTCTTGTTGTGGAGAAGAAAATATAAGGAAGGAGTATTTGGTATGCTTACCATCTTGAGTTATCTATAAAATTAATAAAGGTGACATAAAAAATAAATTTGTTGATGTGACGGTTGAATGATAAAATGAATAAACCTGTTAAAAACTTTTTAAAATTAAGCCTTTAAGAACTGAATCTGTCATCCATCTACAGACATATAGTTATTTTCTGGAATATGAGATATTTTTTTCTTTAAAATTATAGAACTGATACATTTTTTTGCTGGGAAAACTGTGCAAAATACAACAAAAAGGACTTTAAAAAAAAACTGTACTTCATTCCCATGAGTAAATATGTAAAGTTGCAATTTATACTGCAACTTTGATGTTGATGATGATATGGATGGAAAATGTCACTGAATTATAAAACACTTTTGAAATTTGCATAGTTGAAATGAGAAATTTGTTTTAGTGTATTTGAAAGAATAAAATAACTTGCCATGCTACTTGAACCCTTGAGATGTACAGTATGTTAGCCTGTCACCCCTGAAAATTTTGAATGGTGGCTGCTTAAAATCTGGGGGGTATAGATAGAAAAAGCTGTATATATGTAACACTGATATAAGCTTTGAGATAATGTTCAATATAAATCTTACTTCAGTTTATAATCTCTGTCATAATCTTTTAAACTGAGACTTCAAAATAAATCTACAAATATTAGAAGCCATAAAGCTGCCAATATGCTTCCGTGCACAGTAACCTCTTTTCCTAGCTGTTTGTCGCCTTAAGGGAAAATCAAGCCTTCGTAAATTTTCCTAGAGACTATTCTCATCCCTACAGGCGATGACTCATTCATGTACAAACCAACAAATTACTCCAACCAAAGAATCACATCCACATTTACAAGCAAATATGAGATCTGTGCTTGGGGTCACAAATGCCTTATAAAACCAAACTAGCTACACCATCTAAATTCTTTTTCTAAGGTTCACAAATCTTTTACTGCCCAACAGCTATATGTTAATGAATGTTGTAAACTAATGTTAGGTCCCTGGGCTGATCTGACATTTCAGATGTGTAAGGTTTTGTTTTTTTTCTCTTGGGGCCTTCAGAAGCTAGTAAGAGGTAGCCTTGTATGGCATTATCAATATTGCAAGTTTTCAAATAAGGTTATCTCAAAAGCACCGCTGTTCTCAAAGAAATTTTGAGGCAAGAAAGATTCTGCTCACTGACAGTCCACTGACAGCAAGGTGTGTATGATGTTCCCTTCCAATGGGGAAGATAAATGGATTTAATCCTAGTAAAAATGATGAAAACAATGTCGGGGATGAGAGGGCTATTAACTCTTTCTGCATCCTGAGTTTCTGTGGTTGAATTTGGCATTTGTATTTATTAGTTTGTCAAACGTGTACAAGATAGCAGGTATAAATGTAAACATGGATATAAATGAAAGAAATTAATGCAAATAAATGGGGAAAGTAGGACAGGGATATTAGACACGCTGGTGCACTTATGCACACACCTCTTAGGAGTGGGGTAAGGTCCATGGTAGACAGTTTAAGTTTGAAGCTGTGAGGGTTTGAGGATGTAACAATGGGGTCAGGTAGAACATTCCAGGAGTTGACAACTCTGTTGCTGAAGTCATATCTGCAATCGAGTTTGGAGCGATTTACCTTGAGTTTATGTCGATTGTTTGCCCATGTATTATTGAGGTTGAAGCTGAAGAAGTTGTTGACAGGTAAGAAGTTGTAGCAGACAATTTTGTGTACTACGCTTAGATCATACCGCAGGCTACATACTTTGCTACAAAGTGAGTAGTTATCCTCCTGTCACTATCCAAATAACTAGGTCCTGCTAATGTAAAACCTTTGCATTATGAACTTTTTTAAAAAAAATCTTTTTAATGTGTATCTGATTTAATGTGTATCTGACAAATTGTCCTTCCCCCCCCCACAGACAAATTATAAAAATAGGGCACATTTTGTTTTTATATTCGCTTCTGTTACTTTCTAATGCGTCTTATGCACGGGTGGGTTCCTGCCAACCTCTTCTATAGAACATACAAATCTACAGTGCTGTTTAGAACCGGTTCCAGCTCCCTCCCTCTGCCCATGCGCACAACATCAAGATGAAGATCGAAAGAAGAAATTCTGGGAGTTGAAGTCCACAAGTCTTAAAACTGTCAAGTTTGAACATCCCTGGGGGGGGAGGTTTCTAAAGGATTAGGGGTGCAAAGGTCTTTAGCTTGACAGCTTTACCACACTTCAATGCCAGAGTTCCTGA